TTATTCAAATTTCAAAACTCCCAATAAAAACAATTATTAGATTTTTAAAAAATCCATAATTTCATTTCTTTTAAATAATTAATTACAAACTAATAATTTAAATTTATTTTACCAAATACAATAACTCAAAATTACTTATATTTTTGTAATTTTTGATAATATCGAGGAGTGGTTGAATGATAATGTCTTGGAGCTCGTCGATTGCTTCGTGATCTTTCGCCTACATCTTTATATTCTCCGTTTGCTTCATGTTGAATCAGAGTACTGTACATCACTCCACCACTTTGATCTCCACCTTCAGGTGACAATGTTGGACTATTTAAGTTACTTGACGACACCATTGATGTCATTGACTCAAAATGTACACCAAAATCCCTAAATGGTTGAGTATGTAGAAATGCATCCCATGGACCAGCAACATCAGTCGAAGATGGTTGAGTAGGTGGCAGTGCATCCCCTGAACCTCCTACCCACTGGGACCAGCTCTCCATTGATGAATTGTATGGGGGATATGCACCATAAATTGGTTGAGATGCGACATAAGCCGAAGATGACGATTATGATGATGATTTCTCTCCATTTGAATATTTTTCTTTCATTTATTCCCATTCAACCCAATCTGTTGGCATTGTTAAATATAATTTCCCATTTCATTCATAATTTCAAAGGTAGGGTGATCTTGTGAAATCAAAATAATCTTTTAGAATCTCATAACGAAAAGGCACATCTAAATGCATATCATTTCAATTCTGTATGAATGTAGCATGCTTCTTTGGTCAATCTTCTTTATGCTTCCCCTATGCATCAAATTTTTTGAGATCATCCATGTCAAATATTTGTGTTGGAATAGGCTAATGTAAGCCCAACTGTCTCAACACTCTATCGACAACATGAACCTCAACATTAGAAAAATAATAGTGGTAGACACTGTTGGATCTCCGACTCATAACACGTCATCCAATTAAATTGTAAACATACTAAATTAGTAGAAATAGAAATAAATTTTCCAGATTTAATAGTTATACAAAAAACAGAAATTTTTTCGCTTATTTACTGAAGGTATCGATCCTCATTCGTACATATTTTTTTATGCACCCGCCAACCTTGTATCATCAATTCCATGATGCCATCTAAATAACATAATAAATAAAACATGTCGACTCAATTATTAATTAATTTTTTTAAAATACCAAATTTGTTAATAATTTAAAATTTCTAAAATATAAAATTGAGAAACTACCTTGCAGCAAGAGGAAACTCAACTAGAGTAGATGTAATTGGTGTAAAAAATGGAAGGTGATACCATGTCCATCATTTTAATAGGATTAGAAAACACCCTACATCCACTTTTTAACCCGTTCTCATGATTGTAGCCTTACAAAATTCACAGTATAAGAATGTCAAAAAGCATATAACCCCAACTATATGTACGACACTCACAAAAATTTTCCAATATAGGAGGATACTGAGTGTACACCATATTCCCCTATTTATCCGAAAACAATACCCCTCTAATTTATTGGAGAAGATATGCTTGGGTTGCGTAGATGATCTCTTGCTCAAGTGAACTTTCATTCACTTTAAACTCATTCTCCAACCAAGATATTTGTATTCGGAACCCATCTGTTACATTTTGTGGTGGCGCATTTCCCAATAATCGCTCGTACATTTGGTTTAAGATGTAATTTTTATATCGGACCAATGTCGCACCATTAATTGGGACACTAAATTGGTAAGTCACATCTTCAATAGTAATCGTGATTTCTCCACTAGGAAGATGAAACATATGAGTTTCAGGTCTCCAACTTTCAATCAGCTCTGAAATAAGTGTAGGCATCACCCTGAAACCAAGAAGAAATGTAGTAGCATACAATTCGGGTTTTTGTAGGTAATGAATAATCCACGCACATGGCTCACCATTTTTCATTCCTCGATATCGAATGGTTCGATCTTCTTCCTACATTTTAATTTCAAAGAATTAATAAAAAAAAGCCATTAACATTACAATTCAAACATTTAAAAATATAAGAAAAAATTTATCGAATTGAGTTCAGGTGAGAAAATATGAACATGATTAAGACGTAAGACATTTTAAATCTACAAAAAAGATGTTAACAAAATTAATATTACAATTCTAACATTTAACAATATAAGAAAATAATTAAAAATATAAAAAATATAAACTCCCATACAATTTCCAATTTTCGGATAAGTCTTTTTGTGTACAATATGGCGAAAATTCTTGACTCTTACTTTATCTGGATCAATCATGATTCCTCTTTGACTAAACACAAAGCCCAAGAGGTTCCCTAACATTACCCCGAAGGTGCATTTAGTTGGATTGAGTTTCAACTGGTATTTCATCAATCTTTGGAAAAGTTTCCTTAAGTTTTGAATGTGCTCATTTTCAGTCCTGGTTTTGGCAATCATGTCATCCGCATAAACTTCAATTTCTTTGTGGACCATATCATGGAAAAGAGTCACCATAGCCCTTTGATAAGTTTCTCTAGCATTTTTCAAATCAAATAGCATCACTTTATAACTGAACGTGCCCTACATAGTCGTAAATATGGTTTTTTTTTCATGTCTTCGGGATTCATTTTTATTTGGTTATATTCCGAGAAGCCATCCATGAAAGAGAACCAAGAATGGCCTACAGTGTTTTCCACCAAAGTATCTATATGAGGTAGAGAAAAATTGTCTTTTGGGCTTGATCTGTTGAGATCTCTATAATCCACGCACATGCGGACTTTACCATCTTTCTTTGGCATGAGAATTATGTTGGCGGCCCATTCTGGATACTTTTCCACCTGAAGAAACCTTGCATCAATTTGTTTTATCACTTCCTCTTTGATCTTTAACAACATTTCTGGCCTCATTCGTGTGAGCTTTTATTGAACTAATTTACATTCAAGCCTAATCAGAAGCATGTGCACAACTATATCTGTACTCAGTCCTGTCATGTCTTGATAAGACCGGGAAAAGATGACATTGAAATCCTGAAGCAACTCCATCAACTCTTGTCTTGTTTCATGCGACAAAGTAGTATCAACCTCTATAACTGTGGTTCAGCATTTATCTTTCCAAACTAAATAGTATTCTTCATATATTCCAAAAGACTATTATTTCCTTTCAGTCCGACCTTTTTCTCTTCTTCTTGCTTCTTCAGATCTTTGTTTCTTTGTTGGACATTGGACCCAAATTTGGGTCCAAAATTATTTTCTTTGGAAATCATAGTCTTGGTTAAGTTTTGAGCTTCTGTTGTTGCGGTGATTGGTGGAGTATTTGTCAAATTCTTTGAAATGTCTAATTCCCCACTTATTATTAGAAAATCTATTATATGAGTTTGAGATGTTTTGAGGCTGATATTTTATCAATTCGTTCTTAAACCTATAGGCCAGTCTCAGAATACATCAAATGGAATATTCTTGCTTGGATTTCCTTTCTCCTTCTCTTACGCCATGTAGCCTTCACCAGATTTGACTAAATTAATCTCTGTTGGGAAAGAGATTTTTGGGCATCGAGTTTTAGCCTTTTGCTTTCCTACCTTGCAGATATGAATTTCTTGCTCTATAGGATCTTGAAATTATCCTTCAAGGTTACTAGAAACCTTAGCTAAATATCTTAAGTTCTTAGTCTGGTTCATCCAAGGAATACCCTTATAGGACTATTTTTTATTCAGAGGCCACTGTGGCTGAACATAATATGGTACAATCAGTTTAGATTCGAGCATTTCAGAATGCAATTTTTCGCATGAAAAGTGGAAGGGAATGAACTAAAAATTCTGAGTTTGGATGTCCTAACTTGATGGTTTGGGGGATTAAAGTAGTGATTCATAAGAATTTAACCCTTCTTAGCTTTCTTGGTCAGAATTTGGGCTTTTTCTATGCCCCTCTTCTTCGAGTGAGGCCAATCTCTCATGAGGAATCCTTTATGTTTCATTAGTTATTTATTCACTATCAATTCAGCGATGCGCTCTGGGACCACATCCAATTTCTAGAGCTGGCTTGAGTTACCTTACTATTTAACAAGTTCTTGATCACATGTTGATGTCATTGGGGCACCACATCTAACATTCAGAATCTCATTCAAAGCCTTTATAGCATAATCCTCTAGTGGCTTCTCCCCATGGATCACAACATTCCCCATCATCATTAATTTGTACATTTGTTCTCTTAATTCGTCCTGGAACTTTCTTGCTTGATTAACCATCTCTTGTTGAATCTTAATGAGCAGCTCTTAGAGTTTTTAGTCTTGTTGACAAGCACTAAAATCTCATTTATGGCTCTTATCTTTTTCTAGGAAGATCAAGGTGGCTCCAATTTGCTTTTACAATTTCTGTCATGGGATCCTCCACAAGTTACTCCCCAAATTTTCATGATTAAATGCATGTAAATTTTTAGGAATAAATATAATGTAAAAATGCAAATGAAAATGAAACTGTAAAGATGCAAATTCAAATGAAAATGAAATGAAGGTGTTGACTCCAAAGAAATTATCATAAAACAATTTTCAAAGAATACACAATGTCTCAATACACTGAGGTAGACGATAACTACAAATCAAGTCACACTCCTTGACTTCCTAAATTTTTAATCGAATATTGATAACTTCCTAAAAAGGCTACTTTTAAGGTCTTTTTCACTTAAATTATTGTTTGTTTAAAAGCTCATTTTAGTCATTTTAGGATCATGTAGTTGCATATAGTTGCATTTGTGGTGGTATTGCTATTTTATCTTTTAATGATGTTGTATGAGAGAAAGGTGCAATTACTTATGGTGTGCAGGAAATATCAAGCAGAAGGTCGCACTGGGAAGGAATGTCATGACATCAAACGTTGCTAAAGCAGATTGAAATACCTTGGTATTTCTGTCACAAAAACGATAATTACTTTGGGCGCAGATTTAGAAAAAGTGGTGAACCCAAGGCGAAAGGATTGGTCGCCAAAGTTAGATGAAGTAATTTGGGCGTATATAAAAACGTTCAAAACTCCTTTGGGAATGTCACCATTCAAGTTGGTGTATGGGAAGGCTTGTCTTCTCCTGGTTGAACTTGAACATAAGGAGTACTTGGCCATTAAGCAATTGAATTTTGATGCAAAGTTAGTTAGGGAGCAGAGATTACTAGAGCTTAATGAAATGGAAGATTTTAGAGCACAAGCTATGAAAATGCTCGAATATACAAGGAGAAAACCAAGAAGTGGAACGACTAAAAACTGATGCCACGACATTTTCATATTGGCCAACAAGTATTGCTTTATAATTCCATACTCAAACTTTTTCCTGGGAAGCTTAAATCTCGATGGTCAGGTTCATTTGAGGTGCATTATGTTTATCCACATAGAGTTGTTGACATAAAGAATATAGATGATGAGACTATTTTCAAAGTCAATGGCCAGCGTCTGAAAGCTTATAATGGAGTTCCATCACTGCACAACAAGGCAGTGTTGTATATGCACGATGCTGAAGTGTGCCCAACTGAGAACCAAATCTCGATGCCACGGCATTGAATTGTGTTGACTGTGCATAAATAATAATTTTAAATTTTCTTTTATTTTTATTTTATTTTGTAGATAATTTGATTTGTTTTGTAGGGGACCATAGTACTACAACCGTGCAAGGAGTGGTTAGCAAGGGAGGAAAGGACAAATCAATCAACTACGGAAAAAATTCTGTTGATTTATTATTTTTTCTTTTCTTTATTTCTTATTTTAACTTTTCTCTCTCCACTTTTTTGTCCCATCACCATTACTTTTACAGTTTACTTTTTTCTTTTCCTACCTACCCATTTACCCCCATTTACTCATTTCTTTCAACCGTCCAATCACTTAATTTTTTTACTTTTTCCTTTTATTTTTTCTCACTTCTTCTTCTTTCTTCATTTTCCCCATAACCAAAATTTCTCAAGCTTTCCAAGCATACAAAGCTTTTTCCTTTTCTTTCTTTACAAATACTAGAAAAAATGGTGCGTACAAGACCCACCAAAGTTGAAGCTCCCATTGCTCAGCAGTTCGAAAATGATGAAACCAAAGCAAGGTTTCAAAATAGGAAGCTTTTCTTTGAGTTGGTTTCATCTTTACGGTGGATGGCGGTTTTGGACCAGACGTAATGGACATAGTTGTTCCACACAAATGGCACAAGTTTGCAAGACATCCTGGTTCAGTAATGCATTCTTGGTGAAGGAGTTTTATGCTAACATTTCCAAACCGAACCAGCATTCCATTTTTTTACGAGGTAAGTATATTCAGTTTACGCTAACTGCTATTAATTGATACTTTCATTTGCAGGGTGTTGAAGACCAACATAAAAAGTTTGAAAATGACACTGACAATGCCACTTATGATGGAGTTTTAGAGGACTTATGCTTTGCAAATTGATCGCTTGTAAATGTATATGCTAAGGCAAGCAATTCTGTGTAAGTATACACAATTGAATCAAGTAATATAGGGTAAATAAGTATCGTCTCCTCAGGGATTGGTCTAGAAATTTATCTTCACCACAACTAGAACTAGTGGTCACGAGCTAATTCCTACTATCTTGTCAGACTAAAATGTTAATATTAATAAAACAAGGAAATATTATAATGTATGATTGCAGAAAAGCTTGGTTGTGGCAAAATAAAGATGCAGACTACTAAAACCAAACAAAGACAATTATTGATTTAAATATAATTCAAACAACCTCACATATTCAGACTTATCACAGAGCACTTATGCTAATCTTTTGTATTGACAACAATTACTCTAAATCTAGAATGAATTATTATGACTTACATAAACTGTCCGATAGGATTACTAAGTATTCTTCGACGGTTGTTATGGCAATACTGCTCAGCGTTAACTATAACCCTTGGTTTTTCAGACTATTGTTGTAGCAATGCCTCTCAGCGTGAACTATAGGCGTTGTCTATCATACTCTAGGGTCTATCCCTTTTAGATGATTGAAACCCACTCCTTATCTCTAGGGTAGACAAGCTAGAACTTCACCATCCCTGATCTATTCCATTGTTCACATAGATCTATCTTAATTCTCTCGAATATAAGAATCACTATCTAGACAAAAGGTGATCTCTTGATGCTCTTACATTGCCAAGACATGTTTTACCAAAACCCCAGGTGATCTCTCGATGCTCTTACATTGTCAAGGTAAAATATTCAAATAATGAACAAAACAATCATAAGCAAAAACATAATTATTCATTCATAAAGAAGAAAATAATTGTCTAGGCCAAAAAAAGATTAATACCAAGTAAGACAGTCATGGTGCTATAAAAAAGTCATTCAAGTATCATCATTTAATACAACCCCAAATATGTGAAGAAATTAAGAACAAAGGAAGAACGACTCCCAAAACCAGGGGCTCTGTCGTGATAATTCTGATCAGTACAATGCCTGCCTTGGTGAGCAGCCTCTCTCGAGACCTGATCACCGCTATACTACAGTCTGGATATGGAGGACACCAAGGAAGGTCGGTTGGTAAATGGTGGGAAAGTATTGTAGTTGCTTGCTCACGCCTTAAGTAAAGCTATTATCTCTTCTTCCTTGCCTCCTTCTTTTGGCGGCTATGACTGGTTATTTATAGGGAAGAATCTCCTAGGGTTTCGCATTATTGGAGATTCCTGAAATAACCATTTCTATCTTGTCTAGCCTTAAAAAGGAAAGGCGACTGTTAGAATATTTAAGGCTTGCTTGTACGTGAAGGAGATCATCCAGTTGCCGTGTAACACCGGCGGTTTCGTCATACCCACTTCAGACTCTTCAGATAAACCTTGCCTTGGTGATACGATCCAAACTAGCTCCAACTTTCTCCATGACTTGAACACACCATGGATGTTCTTAAATGTTGTTTCTAAGGGAGTTCTTCATTACCCTATCTTATACTATATCATTTATATATTCTATTCTATCATAAGCATGCATTCACATGTTAGTATAAATTATCATATTATTATTTCCATCCTATGCTCATTTGATCATGTTTTTCATATTATTCAAATATATGTTATGATTACATATCATTTCTTAGGATATTATTATTACATGTTTCCATTTATCATTTATGAATACCATGTTATCTGATATTCATGCATACAACATATACCCATAACTTTATGATTGATATACAATGTTATAAGCATGTTAGAATAGTCTTATAATCATATTAAGCATGATTATCATATATACATCAAGGCAGTATCATTATAAATCATTTCATTAGTTCATATGCATTCATATTAGCTCTTAAGCTTCATGCATTATCTTACACATATTTTCAGATGATATAATTAGCTCGTGACCTTCAAACATAGCTCACATCACCATAATCATACATGTCAGCAAGGTATTTAGCTCGTCTTATTTCAATATCATGGACTTACCTTATTTCCTTATACATATATGTACAATGAAGTGTGATGAACGTTGAGATAGCTTGGTGGATGATTTGGACGTCCTATGCAGCTCACAAACAACTTACAAAGGATAAGGCAGCTCATGGAACATTAAGGAAAGCTTAATTCAGCTGGAGGAGCTCAAGGCTAGCTAAACTCAGTTAGTTGGACTATTTGGAGCTGAGTTGCCAAAAGTGATATCAATGGTAGCTGAATGTAGCTGAACATGCTGTTATGAAGCTCATAAGGATTCGGCTAGGAAGCTTGTTCACAAAACAGCCCATGCTTGCGAGCTAGCTCCACACTCAAGCTAGCTTGGAGGAGACACATGCACGCCTAAGAAGGGAACACATGACCATCCATCATCCCATGCAAAGGGCTGCACCACAAGGCTCCCTAGAACACCCATGTGCTTTGCATATGATCAGCCCCCATGTGCCTTGCATGTGGTTCATTTAGGCGCCAAGATGAAGACCTCTCTCCCTATTCGGCCAAGCATCATTTCCCATCCAATTTGGCGCCAACTTGAGGGGACACAAGAACTATTCGGCCAAGGATTATTTCCCTCCATATAGGACCGAAATATTTTGTCATTTAGCATTAAATTATGTCATTTTATAGAGGCACAAGGGCTGGCCGAACCACCATGTATCCATTCGGCCATGCCCCTCCATTTCCTATAAATAGGAAATCACAATTCATTTGTAAGCAGACCTTTTTAATTAATATAAGTGAGATTATTCTCTTCCTTAAGTCATGGTGACTTTTATCGACTTATCAAGTATTTTATACTTGTGGTGTCAACCCCTTTTCTTTTCATCTTGACACTTTTGATTCCTAGCTCATATAACTAGTGGGTCAAAGTACTTAACACCACCCCTTGAAGAAGCAATATAAAGTCTGGGTCTTTGCTCTCTATAGCATTGGTTCTTCTTTGAGACTTCTTCAAGATACTATCCTCACTACCACCCCTTTTGTTTCATCGCCATAACCATAGTCATTTCAATCATCTCCCGCTTCCATCACTCATTTCAAATGGAACTCCTATTCACCCATACATTTACCACCCTTAACCCTCTCTTTTGATCCATTCACTTGTGCAGGTTGTTTGCTTCCTTCCTAGATCCACAATCAATTGATAAGGTACAAGTGCCTTACATCAAGCGGTAATCAGAGCTTTGGTGGAAGAAAGCAACGTGCAATAAGAACAAAAAAAAATATAAAATGAATAGCAAAGTCAAAGAAATCAAGAAAAATCAGAAAACAAAATGAAGCACTCAAAAGAAAGAAAAATCAAACACTCAAAAATAAGAAAAACAAAGAAAAGAAAAGAAAGAAGTTGAAGCACTCATCAACAATTCTCATCACCAAGCAAGTCAAGTAAGCCGTTTAAATTGATTGTGGTGATAGAAGGTTGTAAAGTGACTTGTGTAAGTAACCCCTTTTATTTTTTTCTTTCTATTTCTAAGCCACCCTTTCATTATATTTGTTTTCCCTTCCTAGTAACCTTTTTGCAGCCGACGTCAAACAAGTAAAATTTACTTGATATAGTCTTGAGTAAAGTTCTCTAGAACTTAAGACAAGAGAATCAAGAGGAAAAAGGCTGGAGAGTGTGTGAGATTAGAAGAGGACAAGTAAAAGCCATTAAAGTCCTAGAGTGCAAACACGAGCGGATTAAGTGACATTCAAGTTTTCCTTGGAGTGACTCGTGAGGCTTTATGAGAGTACATTTTGGTAAGGTCCTACACACATTTCATTTTTCCTTATTTGCTAACATGTCTCTTCCATCTAACATCCTTGTAGTCAAAAGGACTTTGAACATTCGAAGTCAAGAGGATGAATAAAGAGAGAACATCTTCCATACCAAATGTCACGTGGGAGATAAAGTTTGTGTGGTGATCATTGATGGAGGAAGTTGTACAAACGTAGAAAGTACTCACATTGTGGAAAAGTTGGGTCTCCAGACTTCTAAGCATCCTCATCCTTACAAACTTCAATGGCTCAATGATGTGGGTGAATCCAAGGTAACCAAACAAGTTGTTGTACCTTTTTCAATTGGAAGATACCAAGATGAAGTCCTTTGTGACGTGGTGCCCATGAGTGCAAACCACCTTATACTAG